TTACAACGAGAAGTCCCTGTAGTAAAGAGAAGGTTCCGAGCTGTCAGAATCACCTAGATTGTCCCCTTCCGCCCAGTCCACTCTGTGGACTTGAAAGCTGTGTTGAAGCAGAGAGGTTTGCAGACCCTGACGTCTGCATGCAGTTTCTTCTTGATCCCTCCTGAAGTCTGCCTCAGGATTATTCAAAGCACTGTGTGTAAGAATAATGTATGAGGTTACGTGCGTAAGTCATGGAGACTCCAGTTTACAGTGATCTCAAGAGTTTTCAAAGCCATTTTGATCATCTATCATTTTTACTTGTGGGCTCACCTTCTAACTCAAGCACCATGTAAAATGTGACCCAATATATCTGGCCTTATGTTACTTAAACTCATTTCAAAACTGCCTGGTCAGGCTCTTGGCTCTGTCCAAGGGAGGAGCCATATGCCTTTCCCTTTGGTGTTCATCGTGCCTGGCCTGATGCAGGCTTTGCTGGCTTTGATAAAAGTGCGTGACAAAGAGACTGGATTGATCATGGGAGTGGTTCATGGTGGGGTGGGGTTGGTTTACGATGCATTGGGTTAATGATCAGGTTAGTCGATAGTGGGTTGGTTGAAGGTCAGTTTATGCTGTTGTTGATGATGGATCTATTGATGGTAGAGTTGGTTGATAGTGGATTACTTGAAGGTAAGGTTGATTGATGGTGTGTTTGGCTGATGGTGGAGTTGGCGGGTAGATCGGTTGATGATGGGTTGGTTGATGGTAAGGGTAGTTCACAGTCGGTTTGGTTGATGGCCAGGTTGGCTGATGGTGGAGTTGGTTGATAGATTGGCTGATGGTGCACTGCTTGAACATAATGTTGGCTGATGGTAGGCTTCGTTAATGGTAAGGTTGATTGATGATGGATTGGTTGATGGTGGGTTGATTGATAATAGGTTTGTTGATGGTGGGTTGGTTGTTGGTGGATTGGTTGGTGATGGGTGTGTGGCTAGTTGACAATAAGGTTGATTGATAATATGGTTGGAAGGCCTAAGGCATAAATGGGTAGGTGTGGGTCTGGGGCTAGGGATGGACTCCCATTGGTCAGAAACTCCCAGTAGAGTGGGAGGCCCAGAGTGGAGAGTAAGGGGTTTTGAGAGTTGGCTGACTAACTGCAGCCCAGCGGACTCGCACACTGCCCACTGGAACCTTGCTGCAGCTGCAGATAGCTGACGTAACGCTTTACTTTCTCCACATAAAAGAAGTTAGTCAGTGCCAGAGATTCAGGAAGCCTCTGTTGAATCAGTGGCAGAGTCAGATGGGTACACGTAAGGGCTCTATCTCCCCTGATGCCTTCGGCAAATCCCTCTGGTTACCAGCGTACCCAGGAGTGCTCACTGCTGTTCTGAGAGCTGCGGGTGAGGAGGTAGGAAACCCCCCCTAAGTGGACTGCACCCTCAGGGCTTACCACATCCCTGGGGGAGACATGATGCCCCGTGAAATGCAGCTGGGGCATCCGAGAGTGGTATGCATCCCTCTGGTGGGATGTGAGGTGACTGGGGGAGTGCAGAGAAGATCGGGGTGGGGAGGAGCCTCGTGGGGTGGAGGCCTGTGTGGGGTGCACCTCTTGGGGGGCTTCCCAGGGCACTGGGCCAGGCAGGTTTTTTTTGGACACCACTGCTTTCCTTCACTAGCAGAGTTTCCATTGATTTTTTTGTTTGTTTTTTTTTTTAAGATGGAGTCTGGCTCTGCTGCCCAGGCTGGAGTGCAGTGGCATGATCTCAGCTCACTGCAACCTCTGCCTTCTGGGTTCAAGCGATTCTCCTGCCTCAGCCTCCTGAGTAGCTGGGATTACAGGTGTATACCACCACGCCTGCCAAATTTTTGTTATTTTTACTAGAGACAGGGTTTCACCATGTTGGCCAGACTGGTCTCAAACTCCTGACCTCAGGTAATCAGCCCACCTCGGCCTTCCAAAGTGCTGGGATTACACAACTGAGCCACTGCACCCAGCCTCTGTTGGTTTTTAACTAAATTCAGTTTGGTTACTGCTGCAGAGCTGGACATTCGTTTCCAAGAACCATTCCCTCTGCTGAGGCCCAAAACTCTTATAACTGAGCCTTCCTTCCATCTCTAGGCAGAGATCAGTGTGAGAGAGAAGACTTTTCCATTGTGTGAGAGATAGCAGAGAAAGGTTGCATATCCAGTCTGATGTCAGCGTTTCCGGGATTTGGTTTTATTCTCAGTTTATTTGGTTTTATTCTTAGTTTCTGAAAAATCTCATTTCCTCTAAAATAGCAGCTCTTAAACCACATCTCTGCTGTTGTCATTGGGTCTTTTCCTTCCTCCTCCAAAGAGTTTAAGAAATGCCAAGTTAAACATAGCTGAATAGGGTGTTTTTAACCTGCAGGATCCTCAGAACTCTTAAACGACTTTATATTCATCCAAAAAGCCTTTTAAGGGGCGCAGAGAAAGGAGCTTTTCCCGAACCAGAAACATCATTTCTTGGAAGATTTACTAACAATGTCACGCAGGAACTGGAGTGTCACACAGGGAGTGTGGGATGTGGCTTCGGAACTTAGTTCCCCTCACTGCTGGGGCTATGCGATTAATCGGAGCAGCTCTTGGCCCATCCGTCTGCAGATGGAGACAGTTGTTTCCATTGCTGGGAATGCTGCGGTGGGAATGCACGGCAGCGCCCGCCTTTTGAGGAACTTGTTTTGCCAAACATGCTCCGGAGGTGACTGATGAGTGCCTTCCCCTCGCACAGGGCCCCTTCTGCTGGCAGAAGACACCTGTGACCTCAGCTCCCACCTGGTGGAGCAGAGAAGGGCAGCACTGGGCAGCCTCAGGCCCCGGGGAGGCCCCTGTTTACATGCAGCATTCCAGGTGCCCGGGGTGTTACCAGGCAGGGAGCGGGAGTGAGCTCTGGGCAGAGTCGGTGTGAGTTCACCGAAGTCTCCACCCTGAGCTCCTCAAGCCCGGTGCAGGAGAGCCCATGAGGGTCAGAGGAAGCCGAGACAGAGGCGCACACCTGGGGATGTTGAGGCGCTTGCTGCAGGGAAGCCTGCGGGCGTGGCTGTGATTCCCAGGGTACAGAGGTCGACAGCCTGATGGTCTTCTCAGATCCAGGAGGCCAGGCCCAGGTATTGAAGGAAAAAGGTTTATCTGTGGGAGAAGGAACAGTGGGATCTCCTACCTCTAACTGGATGATTCTACAATAACCAGAAACACGAACAAGAAACCGCAGCCATTCTCCCAAGGGGCCAGGGGGCCCCGTTTCTTCAAAGTCCCCTCTCATCCTCAGGGACACTGGTGGGCTCCCCTGTGACTGCCCCTCCTCTGTCTCTGGGGTGCTGTGAACCTGCAAAGGGGACTTTTCTGTCTCTCTGGTCCTGGTCACACAGTGCCCAACTTTCTCGAGATAGCCATGATGGCCGTGAATAGGGACGTCCAACCCCAGGGAAATCTGAGCTTGTGCATAGGTCTTTGGCTGCCAAGGCCTGAGCCAGCGTTCAGCAGAGGTGGCTCTGCCCAGCCCTCAGCCTCTCTGCCTTGTCCCTGAGCCCGAGAGCAGAGAGCCCCTCCAGGGGAAGCGCTGCCAGTGTCATGGCAGCAGCTGTTTCACTCCTGATGCGGGCCAGGCCGAGGCTCTGCCTCCCGGAAGCCCTGGACCCTGGAGAGGACACCAGGGTCTGCAGCATGAAAATGATCTCCTGCTAGAGGCGGAGGCACAGGCTGTGGGATCTGGACCACCGCCACCCAGCCCCACATAGCCCGGAACCTAACACATCTGTAGCCCCCCAGGCGTAAGCTCACTCCACTGTGAATCCTAGCTGAAGGCAGTGCCCACTGAGTGTTCGGGCCTCCCATGGCCCCCTAGTCCAGGCTGCCTCCTGTGGTCCAGTACACTGCCTGCCTTGCCCTGAGCCGGGGCCTCCTGTGCCTGCAGCGTCTCCTCCTCCATTGCCAATAGCTCCTTACGTACTCGGAGTTACCACCTTTCGTTCCTTTGTCCTGGTGATCAGGGAGAAGGCATTTAGACTCCCTTTACCCCCATGCCACAGGAGGAAGCTAGAGGCAGGGGTCTCGGAGGTTAGGGGGACATGGGTCTAGGGTCTCTGTGCCAGATGAGGACAGCATGATGCTGGCTTCGGGCTTCAGCTGGGCCTCTGACAAGAGCCATGGACACAGGAGGAAGCATGTGGCGGCCTCCTGCACTTGAGCAGCTGGGAGGCTACCTTTCCAGGCCTGTGGCTTAGGAGCTTGGAGCCTCCTGGAGCCCAGGGTCACGTGTGTCTGAGCTTGAGTCCCTGAATCCAGAGCCGAGGGAGCGCCGTCTGGATTGTGCGGTGGATGAACGGTGGCTTCAGTCCCTTCCTTAGTGGCTCTGCGCCCTTGTAATCCCCAGGTGTGTCCTGCTGTGCCTCATTCCTAGCAGACATGTGTGCTGCTATCGCCAACCATGTCCATTTAGAGGGCTTTCCTGAGGCCACGGTGTGCACACGGCAGCTGTTGTGCGGGGACTGGGAGGGCGGCCGTGGGCAGGAGCGGTAGCCAGCTCTTCGCTAGCTGCTCCAGCACTTTATGTTTGCAAATTCACGGAGTCCTTGTGGCCACTGTGGGAGTGGAGAGGCGTCACTGTTTTCATTTCACAGCCGAGTGTCATGTGTTGCCGATCATCATCCAGGACGTGGCCCAGCTGGGACTCGAACCTGGGAGGTCTGACTCCGGGGCTGACTCTCCCTCTGCAGCCCTGTGTATTGCCTGTAGATAGGAGGCTCAATGCCTAGAGACCGTGGCTGAGGGAGCTGAGTGATCTATAGGGACCATCGGGCACTGGGCGTGTGCGCAACCAGGGCTGCAGCCCCAGCACTGGCCTCTGTCCATGGCAGCAGCAGACATTTGGGCTGAGCGACAGGGCTTGGTGGTCAGCACCATGTCCAAAGGGGACCAGCCGTGCACCTGCCTGGGCCCTGTGCAGCCTCAGGTTCTGGTGGAGTGGCTGGGCCCCTGCTGACACCTCTGCTTTTTCCCTGCAGCTCGCACGCGGACACCAGGTGGCACTGTCATCCATCAGCTACGTGGGCTGCTCCTTGTCCGTGCTCTGCCTGATGGCCACACTGGTCACCTTTGCCGTGCTGTCGTGAGTCCCCTTCTCTGATCCATCCAGCAGCCCCTCGGCCCCTGCCTGCACCCAGATCTCAAGATGGAAGAGACAGTGGAGAGGGAAGGGGCTGTGGAGGTGGGAGCGCCAGGCTTAGCTAAGCTGCCATGGCCCAGGGTCAGACTGTGTAGGGCTGGATAGGTGTGGAAGGAGCAGGGATCAGATTCAAGAGCAACAGGGAGCTATTGAAGGTCCACAATAGGCAGTGACAGCAACTCCTCTGGCTGCTCTTGGAGGAATGGATGCAGAGACTTTGTGGGGGCAGGGAGCCCAGTCTGGGGGACTGGGTCAGTGCAGGGCCCAGCCTCACACCCTGTCTCTGTCCTCAGCTCTGTGAGCACCATCCGGAACCAGCGCTACCACATCCACGCCAACCTGTCCTTTGCGGTGCTGGTGGCCCAGGTCCTGCTGCTCATCAGCTTCCAGCTTGAGCCGGGCACAGTGAGTGGACACAGCTCCTTGTTCCTGCGCTGTCCTTCCCCTGCCTCCTCGGATGTCACCGGGTGGCCCCTTCTCCTGCTAGCTAGCTTTTTCCACTCAAAATTCAGACCCTATCTCCCCAGACAGCCAGGGCTGTGGTTTTTAGGGGAAGCAGAGACCGTGACGTGCACAAGCTTGTTCCTGTGTGGCACGACAGCCTCAGGGGTAAAGCTGCTACCACCACCACCCACTCACACTGCTTAGCACCAGCTACGTGCGATGCACTGTGACAAGGCCTCGCATTTGGGAAGCCATATCACCCTCTAACCAGCCTGTCTTCCTCCCAACCTGCAGATAGAGGAGCTGGGGCATAGGACTTACAGGCCTTGGCTGAGCTGATGGCCTGCTGTGGGCAGACCTGGACTCTTGTTGTCAACTGCAGACTGTGCCCTTCATCAGGTGCTTGGCAGCAAACAGCTGTGCCACCTTTGCTCAGCAAAGTGGACTTGCAGACCTAGATGCCACCTTTCCCTGCCCTTTGCATGAAGTGGGTGTTCTCTGGGGCCCTAGAAAGTCTTAGACCCCACAGAAGGCAAATAGTGGGGGTTTTCTACAGTGACCCAGCAGCGGAGTGACGTGGGCTTGTAAGCCAGCTTACGAAAGAGAAAACAGGGCTTCCTGCTCCATGTCTGGGAGGGAAAAGGGAGCTGGTTCTGGCAGAAGCCCTTAAGAACCCAGCAGGATAAGCCTGTGGTCTTAGGATACAATCAGGATTGTCCAACAGAAGATGAATGCTTTATCCCTTGCCTAGCGGGTCAGCAGAGCCTCTCCTCCACATTGTCCAGCAGAGCCCTTTGTCCCCATGCATGTCCTAGGGCTACTGCCTACGGACAGACCCGCCTTCCTCTGGCAGCAGGCACCTCCCTCACAGGGCACCCCACCTCGAACTTGGGAGCATCCGAGACGTTCCTGGATGCACCGTGGAATGGACGGGGTGTGCACTGGCCTCATGCTCTCCTGCTGGGTGCTTCTCAGGCTCTGCTGTGAACCATCACAGGGATTCCTTACACTGCAGATTTTGGTTCAGGAGCTCCGGGTGGGGCCCAGGATGCTGACGCTGCCTGTCCAAGTCCACACTGGGGGGAGGTCCCACTGCATGCTGGCAGCAGGAGGGGAGGCAGGTCTGCAGCAGCTCCAGGTGTTTGTAATCCCAGCTGTTGGCTCCAGGAGCCTGGGAGTGCATATTTCCTCCAGAACCCTGTGTCTAAATCCCAGGGCAGGGCCCTGATTGGTCCCATTCTCCCAGAGACCTGTGTTTAAATCCCAGAGAAGGGCTATGATTGGTCCCTGTCTCCCAGAGACTCGTGTCTAAATCCCAGAGAAGGGCTATGATTGGTTTCTCTCTCCCAGAGACCTGTGTCTAAATCCCAGAGAAGGGCTCTGGCTGGGTTCTGAGTGATATAGGGTAAACCTTTGTGGCAGATGGGAGAGGATGATTGTAATGGTTGGTCCCACAAGAGCCTTTGGGATGGAGGGGCTGCTCTCCAAGGTAAAGGGGCACCTGGTCCTGGAGGACACATGGCCAGGGGTTGCTGAGCCAACAAAAATAATAGGTGTATCTTATTTTGTATCTAGATATAACAGATCGTGATGACAAGAAACACATTTAGTGGCTTGTAAATTCCTTCTCTGAGAACTAACTGACTTGGGCACATCTGAAGGACAGAACTTGGAGTACCAGCAGAGCTGGGTTGTCCTGGGTTCCACCAGAATCCCTGTGCCCCCAACCCAGGCACAGGAATTGTGGTGGAACCCGAGCCAGGCAAAAGGAGATGGCCACAGGCTTGGGGACACCTCAGCCCTGTGCTTGGACATTCATCCTGGCTCTCACGTTCCTCAGCACAGGCACGTGGTTTCTTCCTGGGCTCTGGTTCCCTGGACCTTTTATCTAGAGTTAACGGACATGCCCTGGGTGTTCCCAGCACCTGGACTCACAGGGAGCAGAGGGGTGGAGCCCCAGGAGGATCTGAGGCTGCGCTGTGCAGGGCCCGCCTCTCTACATTCTGGGTACCTGGGGCCTCCAGGCAACAGGTGAGGAGTGGAGAGGTTCCCAAGGCCCTGCCTCTCTGTCCCTGAGCCCTATTGAGGAGGGAAGCCTGTGGAGCAGCAGGGTTGCCCCGGCCACTTTCAGTTCTGGGTAACTACAGCTTGGAAGCCGCAGTCAATTTAGTTAGAACTAAAAAAGTCCCACCATCTAATGCTCAGACACATGGGGCAGGCTTCCAAAGTTCTGTGTTCCAGTTCTCATATGAGGGGAGGGAAACTCTTCCATAGTCCCCACCTTAACCACAGAATCCACTCTGATTGGACCAGGTGAGTCATGTGCTCATTCCTGAGCCAATCCTGTTGCAAGGTATATATAGTTTTGCTGACTGGTTGAGCCTGAGTCCTGTGCCCTCTCTTGAACCAATCATCATTCCTGGGGACAACATGATACTGTGATTGGCTAGCCCTGAGTCATATGCTGCACCCATATCCCTGGGCCTGACCAACAGGAAGAGATCCTGGGAAGAAACATGGTCAGTGACCAGAAGACTACTCAGGACATGGATACTGGGTGGCTGGGACCATAGCCACGCTCATGGCCCACCCCAGGGCTGTCTCACCTCCCACCTCTGGTTAATCCTAGACTCCCTGCCGGGTGATGGCCGTGCTTCTACACTACTTCTTCCTGAGTGCCTTCGCCTGGATGCTGGTGGAGGGGCTGCATCTCTACAGCATGGTGATCAAGGTCTTCGGGTCGGAGGACAGCAAGCTCCGTTACTACTATGGGATGGGATGGGGTAGGTGGGTCAGGGCAGGTGGGATTTTGGGGCAGGAGGGATAGGTGGGGAAGGGGCAGGTAGGACAGGATGAGACAGGTGGAAGTGGGGACAGAAGGGGCAGGTGGGGATGGGGAGAGGTGGAAATGGGGTTTGCTAGAATGGGACAGGGAGAGCTGTGCTTTCATCTTATTATCCTTCTTGGTGCTTCCTACAGACCCAAATAGGAGGGAGAATCCACTGACTAATCAAAGGCAAAAATTCCACATCACTTGGAAATACTTGCAATATTCCTGACTTGATTTATCAATTTTGGTGATCTTTTCAAAGAACTAACTTTTGGTTTTATTGATTTTCTTTTATGTTTTCCTGTTGCCTAGTTCTTTAATTTCTGTTTTAATCTTATTTCCTTTCTTCCGTGTATTTTAGCTTCAGTTTCTTCTTTTCCAGTGTGTTGAAGTGAAAGTTGAGGTTACTGAGTTGAGATCTTCTTTTTTAATATAGGCATGTATAGTTATAGATTTCCCTCTACCCACTGCTTTAGCTGCAATCCTGTATGTTTTGTTTGTGTCTTCATTTTAAATTCATCTCAAATTACTTTCAAATTTAGTTTTTGATTTTTATTTGACCCACTGATTATTTGTGTTGTTTTATTTCTACATATTCGTGAGTTTCCCACTTTTTTCTACTATTGGTGTCTTAATTTTATTTCATTGTGGAAACACAGCATATTTTGTATGATTTCAGTCCTTTTAAATATATTAAGATTTGTTTTATGCCTTTGTAACTATCTATCCTGGAAAGTGTTCCATATGCCCTTGAGAAGAATGTGTATTCTGCTGTTGGGTGGAATGGTCTGCAGATAACTGCGAGGCCGAAGTTGGTGTATAGTGTTGTTCAAATCTTCTGTTTCCTCGTCGATCTTTTTTTCTGGTTTTCTGTTACTGAAGTTGTGTAGTCTATCTCTCTACTTGCTGTACTGTCTGTTCCTCCCTTCCATTTGTTGGTTCTGTTTCCTGTCGCTTGGGGTTCCGGTTTTAGGTATACATATGTTTATACTTACATCTTTCTGATGAATTGACCCTTTTATATTTATAACAAATCTCTTCATCTCTAGTATTAGTTTTTGTTTTAAAGACTGTTTGCCCCATATGATCAGTAGAGCCGCTCCAGCTTTCTTGCAGTTGCTGTTTGCAGAGTACACATATTTTCCATCCTTTTGCTTTGAGTCTAAGGTCTCCTGTAAATAGAATACAGTTGGGTTTTTAAACCCACCTGGCAATTTCTGCCTTTTGGCTGGGTCATTTAATGTTTTCACGTGTAACGCTGTGATATGTATGGTGGATTTGTATCACCAGCTTCTCTTCTTGTTTTCTGTATGTCTACTGTCTGTCTTGTTTCTCTGGTCTTCCTTTACTTCTTTCTTTTGAATTAAGTGAATAGTTCCTGGTGTACCACTTTAATTCTCTTATCATTTTTTTTTATTTTTTACTTTTTGGGTTATTTTCTTAATGATTGACCTAATGCTTAGTATATTCCTCTTAGAATATTAAAATCTATATAACCATTACTTTAATCTTGTATCTTTTAAAGAAGCCAAGATTAAAAAGGAGAGCAAGTACAGATTTAGAGTTTGTTATATTAACCTCCTTATTTACTGTTTCTGGTTCTCTTTATTTTTTCCTGTGAATTTGACTTACCATCTGGCATTGTGGCTTGCTGTGTGTGAGTGCTGAGATTTCTTTTCGGGGTCGTTTGCTTTCAGCTGGAGAACTTTGTTATTCCCTGCAAGGCGTGTCTGCTGGCAGCAGATTCAGTTGTGCATCTGGAAATGTCTTTATTTCACCTTCATTTTTAAATAGTGGTTTTTCTAGATAATACGATTCTTTTTTGCTTTTAGTTCTTTGATTATGTCACCTCACTACCTTCTGGCTCTGTTGTTTCTCATAATAAGTCAAAACCTAATTTTGCTGGGGCCCCTTGTGTTTGAAGACTTTTTGATTCTTTCAAGACTTTCCCTTTGTAGTTGTCTCTCAGCACTTTAACTCTGATGTGTCTGGGTGTACATCTCATTGTGTTTCCCTTTTTTTCTTTTTGAGACAGGGTCTCAGTCACCCAGGGTGGAGTGCAGTGGCACCATCTCGGCTCACTGCAGCCTCCACCTCCCAGGCTCAAGCGATGCTTCCACTTCACCCTCTTGAGTAGCTGGGATCACAGGTACAAGCCACCACGCCTGGCTTAAGACAGAGTTTCTCCATGTTGCCCAGGCTGGTCCTGAACTTTTGGGCCCAAGCATCCCACCCACTTCAGCCTCCCAAAAAGCTGGGATTATAGGCTTGAGCCACTATGACTTTTCCACTTTTTGGTGTTTATTGAGCTCCTTAGATGTGTAGATTAATACTTTTCATCAAATTTGGGAAAATTTCAGCCATTATTTATTGAAGTACTTTTTCCGTTCCTTTCACCCTCTCCTGTATTTCTAATACTCCCCTTATGAATAGGTTGGTGCTTAATGGTGTTCCACATTTCTCTGAGGCTGTATTGATTTTTCTGCAGTCTTTTTTTCTCTTTGTTCTTCAAATTGCATAGTCTTTCTCCATCTCTTCAAGTTCACTGATTCTTCTGCCAGTTTGGATCTATTTTGGAACCCCTCTAGTGGATTTTTAAAATTTCAATTATTACACGTTTCAACTTTTTTTTTTAATTTGATGTCTTTATTGCTATTCTGCATTTGATGAGACATTATGCATTACCCTTTACCTTTTCAATGATAGTTTCATTTAGTTCTTTGAACATATTTCTAATGATTGCTTTGAAGTCTTTTGTTGTTGTTGTTAAATATGATAACTGAACCTTCTCGCAGGCAGTTTCTGTTGCCTTTTTCATTCCCCTATGTGTCACACTCTCTGGTTTCTTTGTGTATCTGGTAGTTTTTTGTGAAGACTCACTGTCTTAGATGATGATGCATTGTAGCCACCTTGATACTGATTCCTTCCTTCCATGGCTGGCCCTTGCTCGCTTGTGTATGTGTTTAGTACCTTGGCTGGATTGTTTAGCAAAGTCCGCTTCCCTTGGAATGATGGTGAGTCCTCTGACTTCACTCCCCAGAGGGCAGTCTTAGGCGTCACCCCAGGATGACAGTGGTTTGAGCAGGGCTCTGCTGGTCTCCTTCCATGGCCTCTCTGACACCATCTGTTCGGTTCCACTAATTGCCAGCCCATGACTCTGTTTCCAACAATAGCTTGGGGCACATTCTGCTCCACAGCTTAATCTAATTAAATCCAGGCCCCTTTGTAGGGGTATTTTTGAGGCCCGTCTTGAGGTTTGTTCTGATCCCAGGAAGGCTCTCCTTAGCTGTCTTTTCCCTGGCTCTTTCTGGTAAACCAGCTGGAATACACTTTATCCTGGTGTTGTCATGGAGCCACCTGCCTCCTCTTCATTCCCTACTGCAAAGGCTCCATTTTTTCCCAGACTACCCTTAGGCTTGAACTTCTCCACTCTCTTGCAAGTCCGTTCCCATGGGGAGCACTTTGGAGTTCTCTGTTCTAATGGGTAGCTTCCTTTCCTGGGAAGAATTTCTGAGGCACTGCTCTGGAGTTGGGGGCAGGGACAGTGGCTCACTTCTTGTGGAGTGACATGTTTGCCTCTCATGCAGGGCACTGGGTGGGGGAAGGAGCTTCAGATCTTCAGAGCTTGTCTCTCCCAGTGTAGAACCCCTGCCCTCTGAGTCAGCAGAGATTTGGGCAGTGAGGCCCCAGTGTTCTGAGCCTGCCACACGTGGACAGGCCCTGGATACTGTGAGTCAGCAGAGTTGAGGGCAGTGAGGAGGCCCCAGTGTTCTGAGCCTGCCACACGTGGACAGGCCCTGGATACTGTGAGTCAGCAGAGTTGAGGGCAGTGAGGAGGCCCCAGTGTTCTGAGCCTGCCACACGTGGACAGGCCCTGGATACTGTGAGTCAGCAGAGTTGAGGGCAGTGAAGAGGCCCCAGTGTTCTGAGCCTGCCACACGTGGACAGGCCCTGGATACTGTGAGTCAGCAGAGTTGAGGGCAGTGAGGAGGCCCCAGTGTTCTGAGCCTGCCACACGTGGACAGGCCCTGGATACTGTGAGTCAGCAGAGTTGAGGGCAGTGAAGAGGCCCCAGTGTTCTGAGCCTGCCACACGTGGACAGGCCCTGGATACTGTGAGTTGGAGGAGGAAGGGAGTCCCACCCTTTCAGCTGCTTTTACCTGGAGTAGAGCTTCTGTTGCACAGTTGGGGGGAACGAGAAAGGCAGGCAGCCTTTCCCACCTCCCCCAGCCTGGGGAGATACGGTAGCCCTGGACTGAGAGCTGGAGGGAGCAGAGCCCTGTCTTCTTGCCCACACCTACTTAGAGTGGAGCCTCTCTCACACCGAGCTGGGCGGGGAAGCACGTTTTGGCTGAAGTGCCACAAACTCAGTCTTCCTAACAAGATTTAGTAGATTTTCTTGAGTAGATTGTTCTTAATTTACTGTATGCACTTTGGAAAATGTACAGAGGCTTTACATGATGCTTTTTAAAACTGTTTCTTTTTCAGTGATAGCTGTCTCATTGGGGAGGGTCTACTGAGAGACTTGTGCTGTCCTTCTGGAAGTGGGCTCCCAAGTGACGGGGCTTCTTTCTGAGCTTTGCCGTTGCCCGTCCCAGTGAGCACAGAGGCACTGGGGGGCTGCGCATTGACACCTCGCATCTTTGCCGTGGCTGTGAAGCGTTGACCAGATGTGAGGCGCCTGCAGCTTGTTTCAGATACATTTAATTTTCACAGCCCTCACTGTGCAGGTAGCAGGCAAGCAGGCTTACTTCGTGCTTTGTGTTGGCAGACGTGATTTATTTGAGGATTAAGTAGAGGTCAGCTGTGCTCCCTTCGTGGCTCCCTGGGGAGACTGAAGAGGGCACATGGGCAGCCACCTCCAGACTACTGCTGGCCACACGGAGATCTCCCCCAGTCACCACAGATGTCCTATGTCCCACCTCACTGCTCACGCTGCATCATGATCAGGTGGATG